CTGATACAGTGCGGCAACCTTTTGTTACCGAAGGTAATGTAGCTCACGGTTAGCACCAACCTTCAGCTTGGAGCAATATGTCCACCACAGAGAAGGCGAGAAAAAGTACTGTTACATTCTTGGCTGAGTGTTTTGCTCCCGGTTCTTTAGTCTATTTACACGCTGATTGGGGTGTTTGGTGGGTAGTCGATAGAGGAAGAAATGTACTACAAGACTGTATCGATTACCTACCTGTTCACGACAGACGTCCGAATACTAAAGGAGAACTGGCGCTCGGTCGGGTAACTTGCAAGCTGAGAGCTTCGAGCCATTCTCAGGCCTCTGAAGAAGACGAGAATGTTGAAAGGCCTTGCTAACAAGCGATTCCACCCCACAGCATGCTTAGCAGAAGTAGACCATATCTCCGCATTATCATGACGTTCCACGAAGGGAGAACTTAGAGACTATTCAGTACTATCGCTCCGAATAGGAACCTACAGATGGCTGGAGTCGTCGTGCGGTGCTGCTCTATCATCGACCGCACTTGTGGGTGGGGAATACTGAGCAGATTTGATTTTAAAACATCACCGGATATGTCCGCAAAGGCAACTACTAGGAATATTCATACAAGAGTTTATTATTATGGCTTTCTTCTTCTTCTTCTCCCTAGCGTTAGTCCCGCGCCGTCGCAGGGTCCGCTGATCTTGTTAGACGTCGCCACTTGTTCCGATCCACTGCATCTTCTGCTGTGGCTTTCACTTCAGTGAGGTCCCTCTTGATGACGTCCCTCCACCTTTTCTTTGGGGCTCCTCGTGGTCGCTTGCCCTCTACCTCGAGTTCCAATGCCTTCCTTATTGGGTGGTCTTCAGGCCTCCTCAGTACATGACCGTACCATCGCAGTCGCTGCTCTCGTGCCTTCAGCTGGATAGGAGCCGTCTGTGTGACCGCTCTGACGTCCTCGTTTCTGACTCTGTCGAGTCGTGTCCAGCCGCAGGCCCATCTCAGCATCCTCATTTCAGCTGAGTGGAGCTGCCTTTCATGGTTCTTGCAGATAGGCCAGCACTCACTGCCGTAGAGCATTGTAGGCCTTACCACAGCCCGGTACACCTTGCCCTTGAGTGTTCTCGAGCATCGCCGGTCGCACAGGATGCCAGTGGACTCCCTCCATTTCATCCAGGCTGCGTTGATTCGGGCCGTCACCGCCTGGTCCACGCTGCCATCAGCTGCTAGGTTGCTCCCCAGGTACTGGAAATCCTCGACCCTTTCGATGCTCTCGCCATGGCGATCTACGATGACTTCGGCGCACTCTTCGGAGCTTAGGAACTTGGTCTTCTTTACGTTCAGCCGGAGTCCATTCGCAGCGAGCACATCCTGCCACCGCTGCACCTTGTCCTGAAGTTCCTCCCTGCTGTCCGCTATCAGGGCGATGTCGTCAGCATAGAGGATGGTTTTCAGTGGTCCCTCCATGAGTTCTTTTGCCATGACATCTAGAGTCAGGAGGAAGAGGAACGGGGGGCTGAGGGCTGACCCTTGGTGTACCCAACCGTAATGTTTACCTCCTTTGTCAAGGCCGTGAGGGGTGCGTACAGCTGCTTTAGCCCCATCGTACATGTCCTTCACTATGGAGATGAGGTGTTCCGGAACGTTACGTTCTCTGAGCGCTCTCCAGAGTACAGGCCTTGGCAGGCGGTCGAATGCCTTCTCAAGGTCCAGGAAGGCTAGGTAGCAGGGTCGCCGCTTCTCTCGGTACTTCTCCATCAGCTGTCTGGCGATGAAGATGGCATCGTGGTGGACCTCTCGGGCATGAAGCCGAACTGTTCCTGCGAGATCGAGACAAGTTCCCTTAGCCTTGTGTTGACCAGGCGCTCGTACAGCTTCATGGTATGGGGAGTCAACCTTGATGCCGCGGTAGTTGGAGCACTCCGTCGCGTCCCCTTTCTGTTTTGAAGATGGGAACGATTGTGCTGCTCCTCCACGCATTCGGCATCCTTCCTTCAGCTGTTACGTTGTTTAGGAAGTGCGTGAGCCAACTCACCCCATGCTCTCCAGGGCCTTCCATGCCTCTATCGGTACCCCGTCTGGAACCCGACGCCCCCACTGCTTTCCCAGCGTTTCATTCTCCCTAGCTCCCGGCGAACTTCATCTTCGTCCAGGGAGTGATGGGACCTGCCGTCGCCTCTATCTGTGGGCTATCCTTGCGAGGGAATTCTTCGTTCAGAAGTCCCTCGAAGTATTCTTCCCACCTCTTCCTGACTTCGGCTGGTTTCCTGAGAATGGCCCCGTTGCTGCTCTTCACAGTCTTTACGACCCTGATGTCCTGAGCAGCGCGATGCCGAGCTTTAGCCAGGCGGAAGACGAACTTGTCCCCTTCTCGGCCTTCCAGCTTGTCGTACAGGGCGTCCATTTCCGTATTCTTGGCCTTAGCAACGGCCGCCTTAGCGAGTCGCTTGCAGCTCTTGTAGGCAGCGTAGTCTTCTGGGCTCCGTGTCTTTTGCGCCAGCCATTTGTATGCTTGTCCTTCTTCTGCTGTGACAGATCCCTCTGACTCTCGTTCCAGAACCAGGCTGCCTTGTCTCCTCTGATACCACCTCGCGTCTCTCCCAGGACCTCCCTTGCACACTGTAGGATGACCTCTGCTGCGTAGGTCCAGGTGTCCTGGACTGGCCCATGTGGGTCTGGGAGCCCAGCCTCCAGTATTCTTCGGCCGAGGCTATCCTTTTCTACCCTGCCCATTTTCCACCACCGAATTCTTCGCTCTGCTCTCACCCTTGTCTTCTTGGGGAGGTCTATGGCGATGTCTGCCAGGAGAGGCCTGTGCTGAGGGCCCAGCTCTTCCCAGAAGTATCTGAATCTTGACAGTTTTGAGAGACGACCTTCTCACCAGAACGTGGTCGATTTCCGTTTGTCTCCCTCCACTGCTGTAGGTTACCTTCTGAGTCCTCCTTTTCGCGAAGAAGGTGCTACAGATTGCTAAGTCGTGAGCTGTGGCTAGGTCAAGGATCCGTTCTCCTTCAGCATTTCTCGCTCCTATTCCTTGACCTCCGTGCACCCTTTCTAGACCCCTTCTGTCCCTCCCAACATGGCCATTCAGATCTCCAGCTATGGTGAGATAGTCCTCTTCCGGAACCGATCTTATGGCCTCGTCCAGGGTCAGGTAGAACTCATCCTTTTCGGCTTCAGAGCAACCGGATTGTGGTGCGTACACGGTCAGTACTGTCCAGTACCCCTCCTTCGTGTCCATTCTCACTCCCATGATCCGGTCACTGATCCTGTTCACAGTGGAGACGCAGTCCTTGAGGGATTCTGCCACCGCTATGGCAACGCCATTCCGTTTGGTGTCTGCTCCATTGTAGAAGAGTTTGACGCCTTCTCCAATCTCGCGGGCCTTCGCACCCTTCCATCGCGTTTCCTGCAGGCATAGGACTTGGATATTCCTGCGTCTCATGAGGTCGGCAACCTCACGAGACTTCCCGGTAAGCGACCCCAGCGTTCAGCAGGGTCCCAATTGTCCGACACGAAGTTATTTGACTCGGGCGAGGGTTCTGCGCGCCACTTCCGGGTGACGTCCTAGCTTTTACACTGATTCTATTGCGACTTGTCATGGTTGTTGTGACGGGTTCCTCCATCAGACAAGAGTTTATTATTTTGGCAGCAATATGTAAATCATCTAGACACCTACAACTAGTTATACATATGCAGTATGTTAATACGGACTTTAAACCAAAACAAAATGGATGCTATAAAAGGTAGCCGTTTGCTAGTGAACACCAGACGTCATGGCCCCCTCCGGGATCGCCCTCCCCCTCCTCTTTGTAAGTGGTCTTTGATTGCTCTGTAATTTCTTTATGGCTCTATTGAAGGGTCACCTCCATCTTTGAGACGTATTTCCTAATTTTAGACATTCAGGTGCTTTTCGCATTCTCGTGCTTCATAGGCACTGGAGGCCAAGGTACGCCTTTTTCCCCTTATCCCCGTTAAAGGCATGATACAAGCTGATCATTTGGGCAGAGCTACCACTATGCCTTTCTCATTGGTGCTCGCCTCTTTCTCGTCATGATAAGGAGGAGGAGGAGCGGGCCAATCACATAAGCACAGTGGTAGCGCTGACTCCGCCCACATGAAAAGTGTGAGCTGCGCCTTCAAATGAAGGGCAGGCTGATGATGCGGTCTTGGTTTCTTTTTACTGTTAATCACAGCGAAAACTATAAAGTGATAATTTCACAGGTAACAGCACAACCTCAACCAATGGCACATCTTCGACCAATGGGACAGGTTCAACCAATGGCACAAGTTCGACAAATGGCACGACTTCAACCAATGGCACAGCTTCAACCAATGGCACGGCTTCGACCAATGGCACGGCTTCAACCAATGGCACAGCTCCAGTAAACGGAACAGCTCCAGTAAACGGAACAGCTCCAGTAAACGGAACAGCTCCAGTTAATGGTACAGCTACCAATGGCACGGCAACTAACACTACCACTCCCCGAACGACAACAGTAGATCCCGCTACTTGTAAGATTTTATCAGCTGCTATGATACGTTATCTGAAAGAACTATTACAACTGCTATGTACTTTAGTAGCCAACTGCGACAGCGTCCGGATGCCTAAAGAAGTACGACAAAGATTCCTCGACCAACACAATCTGCGCAGGTAACACACGTTTATAGTTCGATCCGCGCGTCTAGGCGACTTCAAGCGACTGAGCGCCCCTGTAATTAGCAACAAAAGGCGCTAGCCACCGATCTTTCACCCATCATCAAGATGATTTTCGAAGCGCTTCCTCGCACTTGGCCGCTTATTGGGTAGCAGTGTCTCGTCAGGCGCATGATTGAAATGTCGTGTTCGCGAACAGCAGTTATCCAGGGAAAAGTAGCGCTGATGTTCAGGGATAAGTTTTACCCATATTTCAGAGGCAGTTTGGCCAGAGGACTCAGTGAACGTAATGCATTCGAAGGGAAAAACGAGATTGCGCCTCCAGCAGCTAATATGTATCGTACGGTAAGAAATTTTTCTTTATTCAAAGAATATAGGTGCTGATATAACGCAGGTAGCCAGAGTTTTTTTTTTTTTTTTTTTTTTTTTTTTTTTTTTTTTTTTTTTTTTTTTTTTTTCTTGCTAGAATCACAGATGACTCAGAGCTTTCTTGTGCTGTGTTTCGTGCTGTCCAACGGACCGGTCTTCCAAGACGTCATTGACAGCACGAAACACAGCAAAGAAGCTTTCCTCGTCATAAGCGCTTCATGGGACAGTAGTCCCTGGTGCCAGAAAGGAATGACCGTATTTAGCGTTTCAGGCCCGGGCAGAAGTCGTCATCTCTGCCATAGTAACCGCTTCTGTTCAAAAAAATCCTCATGTCCCTACTCTGGATATTCATGGCTTTTTTTTGGTTATAGAGTTTATTAACGAGGATTTTCAGAGCTAGTAAGAATCAGTCGCAACACGCACCGCTTTGGGACGACTTTACCGATTAGTTTGATTTACAGGTGGGTGGGGGGGGGTGGGGAAGTTGGAGATTTTTCTGTTGTAAGATTGCTCGTTCTTTCCGTCTACTGAAAAGAAATACCTCACAAGCCTGTTCACTTGAGAAACTTGAGAAAAGTGCTTCGAACGAGGGTAATTGAATCTCAACTTAATGCACCGAAATTCAACAAATCAGGCATAAGGATCAACATCAAAACAGTTTTATTCCGCTCCGCGAGGGATATTTGCCCGATTCCCCCTAAGACATGAGAACTTTCGATACTCTCCTTGCGAAAACTGCAAGAAGGTAGTTAGCGTAGTTTGTACAGGGGCACCTTGTGAAATCTCACAGAGGACTGGATGAAGCTAGTAAATGAATAAATTCAGATGTGTAAGGCAGTGCAATGTACCCGCCCTGCTGATTCCGAAAGATGATAATTTCTGTGCCTGCGGAGTAGTTTGGCGATGAGGGGGCATTTTGGCACTTTCGACGACGTCACTTATCCTGTTTTTCAAGTCTCACTCTGGAGTAACTTGTGAACTGTTGTGAAATTCATGCAAGCTCATGGTAAAACCTGTCAACACTTGTAAGCTCACAAAATATCTCTCCAAATGGCTTACATCTGGACGAGAAGTAGCGAAAGTGTGAAATGCTCACCCCGAACTGCCCTTGCTTTTTTGGTCAACGTGAATTATTGCAGTTATGGAGTTGCGATGCTGAATCCTATGCTCAGTCGCACGCTGATTCGTGTAATCAAGCCTTACAACCAGTGGATGTTCATCCCGGTCACAAAGAGAACGTCTACAGATTTAACGGAACAGGAGACCAGCCAGGGGCTGCTGAAGCGGTAGGGCTCTCCGTCACTATTGAATTCGTCATTTAAACTTTGAATGTCACTCATCTATTTGCAATTACAAATTGGAAATTAAGGCTATGAATAACTGGTGGAGTCAGTTGGCGAGGAACGGCGTCCCATCAAACATAGCAGTACACACAAGCAGTTGGCGAACGCAACTGCCCACAGTGACTTCATTCACAAAGGTAAGGCTTCTGACAGGAAGCGACTATTTGTTACGCCTTTGTGGCTACGGGATGCGCGGCAGATGCGACTCAACAGGGCCTCAGAAATTCGGAGCTCCTCCTCCGAACGACGCGCTCCCCATCCTCCCCCCCCCTTTGTGGCTGCTCCATCCAATGAGTTCTAGCTCTCTGTATTGGCTAACCTCTGTCCATAAAAGGCATGCCGGATGTTAATGAAAACAGCGTCCAGGATGGTTGCGTGGGTGGAGTCGGATGTGACACACCTTTTGTTTCCCTTCTTACATGAAAGAAGGAAGGAGACTGTTGAAGGGCCCACCATGGGAAACCTGCCTGATTTCGACCCGCCACCCCGTCGCACGGTTTATCCATCACAAGGCCCATTTGACTGGAGCTCCGCTCCTAAGGTGAGGCAAATTTGAAGGCAACAACAAATGATCTCTACCCTCGCTTTGAATGTTGGTGACAAATAGGGGGTGGCGGTGTAGACCGTCAGCTCGGACAATGGAATTCAGCATTCTGGCAGATATCTCATCCACCGAGAAACTGGCGGACGGAATGAGATCCATTCGTTAGCTTCTCACCACTTTTCCTCCCGCATTTACGGCATACTTACACCTCCAATTGCATATCGAGACTCAAACCAAGTGAGCCCGCTGCATTCAAGAAACAGCTATAGCCTCTTTCCCAGGGTGCAAATTAGGTGCTTTTCGAACAGATCTTGTGCATAGTCAATGGGCCTTCAGGGGAATCGTCTCTTGATCGTCTATCTGATCGCATGTCCTACGACTAGTAATACTTTTTTTGATGAATGGGAATTTGAATCTCTAGAAATGTTAGCTCGAAGCGTTCTCTCTGATAACCATTTCAGATGGCCTGGTGGATTACACTATCAAAAATGGGTGTGTGCTATAAACCAATGCAATGGTTTCATGCTCGTTGTCTGTATGTACAGTCCAGGGTGAGTTCAGCAGTCCTTGCCTAGGAAAAGTTTGACAGTCCACGGTCGTGTGGGCGGATACAGTCAATCATGCCCATTAATGGGTCCTTTCTTTTT